ATTGGGTAGATCCCTTTCCTCTTGCCTCTGTTAGAGCTCTTCCACGTCTATCTTCTGATCATATCCTCATTTTGTTATACACTAGCATGGAAAGAGGTGGGACGAAGCCTTTTAGGCTAGATATTGGGTAGTTGAAAGAGAAAGAAGTGGTAGAAGTTATTAAAACCACCTAGCATATCACAATTTGTATTGGTTCTTTGGCTTTTCCATTGCACAAAAAGCTGCTCAATGTTAAACATAAGCTCATCGTCTAGGAGAAAGAGAATAGTTTCAATGTTCAGTCTAAAATTGATGAGCTCTTATATGAAATTGAAGCTTTGGACCAGTACGTTCAGTCTATAGGTACGTTAATCGAGGAGTTGATGGGTAAAAGGAGTTTGAAGTTGAAATCTCTTCATAGAACTGATGAGTTATATTGGAAGAAAAGATCAAAGATAAAATGGGTAAAGGATGGTAATTTGAATACTAAGTTTTTTCATTCTATTGCGAGTTCGAGAAGAATGCAAAATGATATTTCTAGTTTGGCTATTCCTGGTATTGAGACATATGATAGTGTGACAATAGAATGGGCTATTATTGACTATTTTAAGAAGGCTTTTTCGACAGAGGTGAAGTTCACTCCAAAACTGGAAAGGGGGTACCTTTTAAAGTTTTGACAGTAGAGATGAGTTCTAATTTTGAACGTAACATTTCTATGGAAGAACTAAAATGGGTCGTTTTTTTTTACCTGGTGGTGATAAGGCTCCAGGTCCAGATGGTTTTCCTCTTTCTTTTTTCCATAGATTTTGGAACTTGATTAAGTCTAAATTATCAGAGATTGTTAGAGCTTTTATGACTAGAGTGAGATATTTAAAGGGGTTAATACCACTTATATAGCTCTTATCCCTAAAAATCAGTGATAGCAGAGTTATCAAATATTATGCCCATCAGTCTTCTGACCAGTCTTTATAAGTTTGTGGCAAAGGTCTTGGCTGAAAGATTGAAGCCAGTCATACCTTTTCTTATCTCTAACACTCAATCTACTTTCATTCAGAATCGTCAAATCACTGATAGTATTTTGGTGGCTCAAGAGTGTATTCATTTTAGAGTGAGAAGTCAAATTTTTTGAGTCATTATTAAACTTGATATGGAAAAAGCTTATGACAGAGTTGAATGGGGGGTGCTTATGGAAATTCTTAAGAATATGGGTTTTGGGGCTAAATGGAGGAATTGGATCTTTAGATGTTTATCCTCTGCCCATTTCTCTATACTTTTTAAGGGAAGCCCTATTGGTTTATTTAAGGCTTCCAGGGGTCTTCGCCAAGGGGACCCCATGTCACCATTCCTTTTTTCTATCTATGCAGAATGTTTTAGCCTGATGATTCATAAAGTGGATAGTTGTAGGAATTTCTCTGGTTTTAAAGTGGCTGAGATGGGTCCAAGAGTTTCTCATTTACAATATGTGAATGATACGTTTATTTTTTGTGAAGCAGATGAGACAAAGTGAATAACATTGCTCGATTTTTAGATTGTTGTGAGGTGGCTTTGGGTTTGAAGGTCAATTTCCATAAGACCTCAATGATAGGTATTAATTGTTCTTTGACCTTGATTCAATATTTGACAAATCTTTTGGGTTGTTTGGCGGGCTCTTTCCCCTTTACTTATCTGTTGTGAGGTGGCTTTGGGTTTGAAGGTCAATTTCCATAAGACCTCAATGATAGGTATTAATTGTTCTCTGACCTTGATTCAATATTTGGCAAATCTTTTGGGTTGTTTGGCGGGCTCTTTCCCCTTTACTTATCTGAGTGGTAGGGTTACATTGCTAAGTTCTTGTTTAGCTAATTTACCAATTTACTTGATGTCTCTTATTCAAATGTTAGCCTCAGTGATAAAGAAAATTGAAAGAATGATGCATAATTTTTTTTGGAGAAGAAAGGAAGTATCACTTACTTAGGTAGGATTGTGTTTGTATCCTTAAGAGTGAAAGTGGTCTTGGCATTAGAAAGATAAAATATACGAATGAGGCATTTCTGTGTAAGTGGTGATGGATAAGTTTTCAGTTTATAGATCAGCTTTGGTTTCAGGTTTTGTCTTTGAAATATGGATAAGTTTTCAGTATATAGATCAGCTTTGGTTTCAGGTTTTGTCTTTGAAATATGGTTTGGATAGGAGGGGAATGTGGATAGGAGGGGAATGTGGTTAGGAGGGGGTAGAAATAGAGAGATGTCTTCTCTGTGGACATCTATTTACAGATGTAGGCCGATGATTGCGAGTTATTTTCGTTGGAATGTTGGTTGTGGTGACAACATCTCTTTCTAGCATCATAAGTGGATAAGTGATGCCCCTCTGAAGCTTACTTATCCGGAACTGTTTGTTAAGGTTTCACAACCTAATGCTAAGGTTTCTGATATGGTTGAAGTGAGAGGTAATCATGTTGCTTGGAGTATTAATTTCCCATATAATAGGCCGAGTGAAGATATTTATCTTCAATGGAACGATTTGATGGGTATTTTGGATTTGGTTTATATTTCCCAAGGGGCAATAGATGAAGTGATTTGGGAAGTTGATTGCGATGGGGTATTTTCGATTAAGTCTTGTTATAGCCTCTTTTTTCACGATAGATGGAGATGGTCTTTACCTGCCGTAGCCAAAGTATGGAAATGACCTGTTCCCCATAAAGTGCAGGTATTTTTATGGTTAGCTATCCAAAATAAGATTCCGATGGTAGATAATTTGATTAAGAGGGGCAAAATTTTACCTAACATATATTTGATGTGTAAAGCCGATGAGGAATCTGGGGAGCATCTTCTCATCCATTGCCACGTTACCTCAAGAATTTGGTACTGGTTATTTGGGCTACTTGGGGTTCAAGCTTCACTGCCCTAAGTTGTGATGGGTTTAGTGTCACAGTTAGCTTTTAATCATTTACCTTCCGAGGGTATTTTGGTGTGGCAAATAGCGAGAGGGGCTACTCTATGGGAACTATGGAAAGAAAGAAATAGACAAACTTTTGAAGGAGAGAGTTTATCTTTTGATAGATTGCTGAGTAAAGTCAAACTATCTATTTGGTCTTGGCTCTCAGTTTTTAAGGAGGGTTGGGGAATTCCACAACTAGATGTTCTGTTGAATTTACCAATTTTGTTTTGATGGGTAGTGTAAAGATGAGACCAATGAGTATTTGGGTGGCACCAGAGAGTGGGGAATTTAAGTTAAATTTTTATGGTAGCTCTCTAGGCAATCCAGGTTTGGCAGGCATTGGGGGTGTGGTGTGAGACTGTTTTGGAGATGTCATCTTCTCATATGCTGGCCCTATTGGTATAGCCACGGCTAACCAATCGGAGTTATTGGCTTTGTTGCAAGGGTTAAAAATTTTTATCTCTAGAAACATCAAGAATAGCTGCATTATTGAAGGAGATGCAATGAACGCAATTAATTGATGCAAGAAGGAGCAGTGTATTCCATGAGAACTAAGGGCTAGCTGGTTGCAGATTATGGATCTGGTGGCTCCACTTTCAATTTCTTTTTGTCATGTCTTTCGCAAGGCAAATTCCTTGGCCGACTTTCTAGCTAAAGGGGGGACCTCTTTGTCCGCTCTAGCTATCTCCCATGATGTAATTTCTATTGTGTAGATTTTATAAATAAAGTAAAGAATATTTGTCAAAAATAAATAAATAAATTAGTGAGCCTTTTAAAGTAAAAAAATATAACCAGAAAAAGAGAAAAACCATAAATCCAACTATTACAAAACAAATAAAGCAATGTAAACAAAAATTATTGATTTTTGCTCGCTATAAACCTTGACCACTCTAAAAGTTTAAAACATTAATAAAAAGAAAAATATCCTTGAGTGATTAGTGGTTGAGATTAGCAACGCTGCATCATATTTGATTCCTACTATTAAATGGGCAAGCTTTCTATGCTTCCCCTACAACATAAAACTTACATACTTCCCCTTATCCAGCCCTCGATTTTGAATGGGGGGCCAGGATTGCCCCAATCACAATGTCACGTCTCTACACTATTTTATTTTTAATTTTTTTTCTATAAACTATTTTGGTCGTCCAATCTTCTATTAAACTTACACTAGCGAAAAATATAAAAAAAAAATTCTAATAAAATAAAATGGCCAAAATACCCCTGAAAATTTCAAGGGGTATTTTAGTCATTACATTTTATTGAAAAATTATTTTTAATATTTTTTATAGGTGCGCCCCAATGAAAAGATGGCTTGTACCAAATTTTATATTCATACAATTTTTATAAAAAAAAACTAAAAATAAAGTACTTTGAGACATTGGATCTAAGATCAAACGGTGAGTGGTTCTCACTGTTTCAAAAAAGCGAACCGCCCAGCGCCTAGGCGAATATCCCTAGGAGCCCTCCTGAACCCAAGCTGCCCAGGGCTGCGCTCCACGTAGGGACGGAAATGTGACTCCTTGAGGGTATTTTTGAGTCATTTTTTTAATACTAAAGGACAAAATTGTGGGTTTTAAGTTATTAGAAGCTATTTTAGAGAGAGAAAACCCAAAAAAAAATAAAAAATTCTACTGGCCCGGCCAAGTACTGGGCGGCCCCTGAATGCCTAGGTTCTGCCTAGCGATTTTTGATACACTAGTAGCTCACTTGATCAAAATTGGACGGCTGGATGGTAAGGGATACATAGATCTTCTGTATTGTAGGGGGAGCATAGAAACCTTTCCCTTATTAAATTACCTCAAAAAAACTAAAAGGGTAGATGGTCGCTTCCAATCTTAACATGGACACCCTAATATTGTGTTCTTAGGACAAATGCAATTTGTCGAGCCCATTACATGGTTGGTTGCATAAACAAAGACTATCTCTAATATTTGCGGACCCCTTCGCATCTAAATTTGGTTCCAGCAATGAGCCATACCTTGGGCGTCCAATTGGAGAGCTTGTTTACAAGCCTCTCAACTCATACATACTGAAACTCATAAACAATTAAAAATTTGATACTTATGAAGGCCACCCTCTCTAATCTATTCAATTTTACTCCTAAATTAACAAACCCAACTGCAACCAGGACTTATCTTCTTCACCCTTCTCTCTTTTAATAACCGCAACACACCCTTAGCATCATCTGATCTCCCCATTGAATTATACATACTAGCAAGAACCAAGTAATTTGCAGCATTTCTTGGCTCTAAATTAAACAAATGCTTTGCAGCTTCTTCCCCTATCTGCAATGATTCACATTGAACCCGACATGCACTCAATAGAGAGCCCCACCCACTTGTGCTGAGCTCAGTTCCCATAAAATCCATTAGTTCGCGGGCTTGTGAGATAAACCCAGCTCGAGAAAGAAGATCAACCATACAAGCATAATGGCGAGCCTCTGGTTTGATTCCATGTACATCTCTCATGGATTTGAAGTACTCCTTTCCCTTCTCTACAAGACCACCACGAGTGCAGGCTGATAAAAGAGAGACAAAGGTCACATTGTTAGGCTTTGTACAAGTTTTCTCCATGGCATGAAATAGCTCAATTGCATCTTCACTACATCCATTCATGGCATACCCTGATATCATAGAACTCCATGAAATCACATCTTTTTCTAGAATGCTATCGAATATTATTTGCGAAATTTTTATACATCCACACTTAGAATACATGTCAATAAGTGAATTAGCAATTCGGATTTCTAAGAGTAAATTTGTTTTTATCACGTAAGCATGGGCTTCTTTTGCTCTCTTCAAAGAAGCAATTGACCCAATAAGCGGAAGCACAATCAACATGGTTATGAGGTCTGGTTCACGGCCTTCTTGCCACATTTCAATGAAGAGTCGCAGAGCTTGATGCCAAAGTTTAAGCTCCCCTAAGCCTCTGATCATGGCGTTCCAACTGATGGCATCTCTTTGAGACCTCTCACCAAAAAGCTTAAATGCTTTGTCAATCTTTCCACATTTTAAGTACACATTGAGAAGCGCAGTAGAGAGAGAGGCATCTGATTCTGTCAGGCTGTTCATTGTGTATTCCTCTACCGACTTCTCAGCTTCTTCCCAAGCTCCCAAATCTGCACAAGCTGGAAGTAAATTCAGAAGAACTGCTCTTGTGGGTACCATTTCTTTACTCACTTTCATCACTCTAAAGAGTTTCATGGCCTTTTGGCCTCTCCCATAAGCTGAGTACCCACCAATCATTAAGCTCCAAGCAACACTATCTCTCACTGTCAATTGATCAAATAATTTTGCAGAAACATCCAAGCAACCACAGCTAATGTACATATCTATAAGAGAATTTGAAACTGAAATAATTTGAAGTAGTCCGGTTTTGATTGAAAAACCATGAACTGCTTCACCCAATTGCAGCTGAACCAAATCACGACAAACAGAAATAATACTTACCAAAGTGGATTCATTGGGTGAAATTTCTTTAATTAATCTCAAGTACTTAAATAAATACAGGGACTCAGAAAGCAACCCATTTCTCGAATAACCAGAGATCATGGCATTCCAAGCTACAATATCTCTAAGAGGCATTCTGTCAAACAGAGAACGTGCAAAGCAAACATCACCAAATTTTGAGTACATGTTAACGAGTGAAGTACCAACAAGAACATCAACTTCACATTCACTAGAACGCTGAACTATCTGATCATGAATTCTCAAACCATATTCAAAATCTGATAAATCAGTGCATGCTTTCAACACAAGATTATAAGTCAATTTATCAGGACTCACACCTGAATTCATCATCTCACTGTAAATATCGATCATCTCTTCCAGTCTTCCATTGATGCAGCAGCCTCGTATCATTGAATTCCAAAAAATGGAATTGGGTTTTGAAATCACAGAATTGAAAACAAGGTGAGCTGCTTCTGGGTCTTGGAAGGAATGGTATTTGGATACCAGAAGTGTGTTTAAAAAGATGTTTTGGGAAAACCCAGTTGCTATTACCTGGCCGTGAATTTGCAGAAGCTGTGATGGAGAGCATGAAGGGCTCAGTATAAGAGCACCCAAGGCTTCTTTCGCTTGATTCCATGATCTATGGTCGCTAGAAATGGGAAATGATGAATCGGAGGTTGAGATTGTAGATAAGTTTGTTAGTGTTTTTGCAGTTGAAAATCTCGGTTTTGAGCTTAAGAGGAAGTTGGTAAAAATACTGTGAAATGTTGGCATGTGTGGCAGTAAGACGACGCAATATCCATTGGAAAGAGAAAATGGCACCGGAATTTAGAAGTCCAGTTGTTTTACAGGAATTATGACCGTATCCATAGTCAGCGTATATGATGGTAATCATGTGACTTTAGACAATTGACCAAGAAAAAACCTCTCATACTCGTAGGGTATATAATGGTAAAAAACAGAGCAATAATAATAATAATAAGCTTTAGTCATAGGCTGCAATAGATCCGACCAGACCAAGACCCAACAAGTAGACCTGGTATGGGACCAAATTTTGGACCCGATCGGCGAACCAACCCATTAGACCAACGGGTGTGATTTGGCCATGATAGCTATGCTAAAAATCAAACTATAGAAGCACTCTTGAATGACATAATAATAAATTAAAATTCAAAGAATAATATAAATATTTCTCATAGATATTTTGAAATTTATAAGAAATATTTCTCCTACATCTATACTCCCCCCATCCAGCCGCCACTAACTATTTGATCTAAATCCACTATCTCAAAGTACTTTTTTTTTTTTTATATACAAATTATATGAATATGAAATTTGATACGTGCCATTATCTCAATGGAGTGCAACTAAAAGAAAAATATTAAAAATAATTTTTCAATAAAATATAATAACCAAAATACCCCTTGAAACTTTCAGAGGTATTTTGATAATTTTATTTTATTGAGATTTATGTTTATTTACATGTGCGAGTTTAAGAGAAGAGTAGGTGCCCAAATTTTGGTGTGAAAATAATTTATAAAAAATAAGGAAAAATAAAATAATTATAAAATAATCAACCGTCAGCCAATGGACAGGGCCCGGTCCGAGGCCCCAAGAAAGCTTGAAACTGTTCCGAATGGGCAAGAAGGCCCGGGCCGGGGCCCGAAATAAGCCCACCAACAGCTCGGCCCTGCAAGCCCGGAAAATGTAGAGATGCCTGGGCCTGGACCAGGCCCGGCCAAGTAGGTTTGTGGCACCTTCTTTTTTCCAATTTTTAATGCTAAGTTCCAAACAAACCAAAAAAGAAAGAAAAAAAGAAAGGAAAAGATATAAAATTGGTACTATGTTGAATAGAGTAAGTTTTTCAAGATATCAGCTGGACCAAAGTATGGAAGAATGATCCATATGTTCATTGGTGAGGGTAACATGGAAATGATGGATTGGCACTTATATCTTCATGAAATTTAATTTTTACAGTATTTTCCACTCTTCTTACCTTTATTAAAGAAAAAAAAATATATTCTGCTTGCTGATGTATGTTTTTTGTTAAATACTGTGGACCTCCATCATTCCATGCCATTTCAAATGTGTTCACAATGCTAATTAATATTCATGGAAGTATTTAATAGATAGGAAATGCTTGTTCTTAAATAAGTAAGAGAGTCGTATAGAAAATATTTCTAATGAAGTGGCTTTCAACTGCACATTCACGAAATATTATTTTTGAGCTCTGCATACTCATCCCTCGACCAAAGAAATATCATCAGTATTCAATCAGCAATGATCGAGTGATGGTCGAAGACTACTTCTAAAATTTTGAAGAGTGAAGTTTTTATTAACAAAAAAACAAAAAAAAAAGGCATGTTAAATGGGCCGGGCTAGGCATTGTTTGGGCCAAGACGAGACATTAACAAGCTAACTAGGGACAGTTTGGCCCGCTGGACAAATTCCGAGCTTATCAAACCTGGCTTGGCCCGATGACAAGTTATATTAAAAAAAGCCTAAGGCCCGCTAGCGGCCCTTAGCCGGCTCGCTAGTGGGCCCTGCCGAAAGCCCACAAGCAGGCCCTGTCTATTGGCAGCCCTAACCGTCCATTCAGAGTAGATGGTTGGATAGAGGGAAGTATATAAGTTTACAAGAGAAGCATAAAAAGCTTACCCGAAACTTATTTAACTCACGTCTATTTCTTAGGGGTGAAGTTTAACGCACTTGCTTTGAGCTGTCAAAGTTACAATGCCTTCATTTAAATGAGCTTATATTGTTTTCCACATAACGAACAAGAGTGTTTAGGAATATAGAAAGTTTAAAAGGGAAAAAAGGAGAAAACTATCTCAAGCAACAAAGAGTAGAAGAAATTATTGAATTTTGGAGAGGAAAAAGTTTATATAAGGTGTAAACCGTATAATGTAGAAGTAAGGTGCATCTCAAAAACCTATTGAAAAAGGTTAGTTTTGTTACTAGAAAATTTTTCAATTGATTATCTTGACCTCGATATATATAGATATGAAGAAAACAAATGAAACTCAAGTCTTAAAATTAGTCCATCTTATACATTATTTTCAAGTGTTCATAGATCTACTAGATTAAGATTTTCAAGCGTTCATAGATCTGCTAGATTCGCACCATTTTCGGAGCTTTCAATTTAATTATAACAGTGAAAAATAACTTTTAGGCCATGACAAGAGTTTTGGCACTGAAAATACATCTTTTAATGAGATTTTGAGATGTATCTTACCGTGATTTTTTAAAGTTATCACCTTATACAAACCTCATCTTTTTGGAAAATAGTATTTAAGGTCGAAGCATACCTTACCATGATTGTTTAAGGTTGTCACCTTATACAAACCTCACCCTTTGGAAAAGGGTGAGGTTTGTATAAGGTGACAACCTTATAATATTGAGGTAAGGTGCACCTCAAAACTATTATGAAATTTAGAGTTCCGAAATGACGATGATCGAGTAGATCTATAAACACTTGAAAACATTGAAAATGGACGGTTCAGATAATGCGTTAGAAGATGAACTATTTTAGGACTAAAAATCCTTTTTTTTTTTTATGTATATGAATCTCGAGATTGAGATGATCGATTTGAGGGTTTTTCTGCATAGAAACAACTTTACTCGTGGATTTTTAGGTGCACCTTGCTTGAACAGTATAAGGTGGTGACCTTATATAATCTTTTTCCTTTGGAAAATAAGGTTGCATTTAAGGTAGAAGCTGGTTCCCCCAAATACGTGAAATCAATGCAAATGTCGAGGTTCCAATTCCACGTTACTTATCGGGTCGAAAAAACTAAAAAATAAAAAAGTACACAAAACCATATCGACTCGGAAAAACTAAAATAAAAAATACAAAAAACCAAGCAACTGGCTATATCCTTATATACAACACCCATTTAATATCCATGAAAACCAAGCACCTGGCTATATCATTATATACAAGACCCATTTAATATCCATAAAAATAGAGCTTATTTTTTAGGACAAGGGTTTGATGTAGATATGCGGCCCTCTTCATGAATTCATTTTTGAGATGGATTTTGGATTCAATTTTTAGGTCTATATAATCTCTAACATGGACATCATTATTTTTTTCAAACAGAATCCAAATGCTTTCTTTTTCTTATTTCGATTGGTTCGTAGTTAAGGAGGTTAGATGCAATGATGTGGCCCTCTAATAATACTCCAACTTGGGATTTTTAACTGAGGAAGCATACAACAATCAAAAGAGATGATGAATAAAAAGAGAGTCGTTATAGTTCAATTATAACATACTTCCAATATCTGTCACAGTTGCTTGCCAGTTAAACCACTGATAGTTCAAGTACTAAAACTTACAGTGGCTCTCTTCGTTCAGTAGCCATTCATTTTCCTTCAGTATCTGTTCTTCCTCCTCTTCGGTGAAATCATTTCAATGCCAAACATACTTAGTTGCTATTTTCTTGCAAGCCAAATCAAACAAATGTTCAATTTTCATTTCGTGTGCAGCCTGCGAGAACAAAAACAAACAAATAATCAAATACATAGAAAAGAAGGAAATACAAAGGCCTTAAGACTCTGTGTGCATGCACGTGTTTTATGTATATGAGAGTGTGTGAGATGAGTCCTTGTTTTAGGATGTTTCGGAAAGCGGAAGTAGAAATCCACAAAATTTCCCTGGTTCTTGCTGGTGCATAGTTTTTCTAGAGATTCATTGATGTACGGTTCTATAGAAGATTGAAGATAGACCGTTTCACTGCTGGTTCAGTTCCAATTAGATTGAAGACTCCAGAATCATCTTGAGTTGTGACCAGAAAGACAAATATTTGAAGAGGAGGAAGACCCCAGAAAAGCATGCTTCTTACAATGAGATTTCCCAGAGCTGGCCTTATGACAAGGCTCCATGTCCATGGAAATTATGAAATGAGATCCTCTTTTTTTTTTTCAAGTTTTTCCCCTATTATTTCTACTCTTTCTCCAATATCATGGTCTGGGTTATACTGATATTAAGCAGAAAATAATTATTAGAAAAAATGAAGTAATTGAGAAGTATGAGTCTGTTTGAAGGGTTTTCCTAAGGAAAATAAAGATTTGAAATAAACCAATATTTTGGTATGCAAGGAAAGAGAAGAAATTTGATTCAGAAGATATAGGCTTTGCTTTCTAATTTTTTTCTAATGTTACCAGAAACCAGAAAAAATAAAAACCCTAAAAAAGTATGACTCATTGGTTTCACCTCAAAGTACTAAAACCACAAATATGCTTGGTTGTGGTGAGTTCAGAGTCAAGAGAAAGGAGAAAGAGAGAGTTGGGAGACACGAACAAAGAATCCAAAAGGAAACACTATCACCCACGTATGGAGGTCTCTTGGATCAAAATAGAGATAAGAGTTGAGAAAAAGAATCATGATAAGATAAAAAAAAAAGTTTAAC